ATATTGTTCTCCAACACCACAACTCAAATGCATCAACTCCTTTATGGTCTTCCTTATTCATTGTCTAACTTTCACATGCATGTGAGGCTATTGAAAACACTTTGGTTTGGGTCAGGCCCACCTTAGTCCTCAAACTGATATCTTTGCTCCTGAACATTTTAAAGAGGTCTTCTGTATCAGATTTGCCTAATGCAATATATCATTTGATTTCTTGGCTGCTGCTTGTATGATTGTTAATTGTAGATCTATGATGTTATTCATTGGTCCAGTTGTGAGGATTTTTGTTATTTTTATATCGAAGTGCAGTTCATACTGAAGGCTATGGTCTTTATCTTCATCAGTAAATATTTTAAGTAAATATTTTAAACATTTGCTTTCAGGAAGCAAGGTTGTGTTATCTGCATATCACAGATTGCTAATGAGTTTCTCCATCTTGATGTCATGTTCTTTTTTATATAATCCAGTTTCTTGGATTATTTCCTCAGCATAAAGATTGAATAAGTATGGTGAAAGAATATAACCCTGGCACACACATTTCCTGGTTTTAAACCACTCAATATCCCCTTATTCTGTTATAATGACTGTCTCTTGGTCCATGTACAGGTTTCTCATGAGCACAATTAAGTGTTCTGAAATACTCATTCTCCTCAAAGTTGTTCATAGCTTGTCATGATGTACATAGTCGAAAGTCTTTGCATAGTCAATAAAGCACAAGTCAATATCTTTCTGGTATTCTCTGATGTCAGCCAAGGTCCATCTGACGTCAGCAATGATATCCCTTGTTCCACGTCCCCTTCTGAATCCAGCTTGAATTTCTGGAAACTCTCTATCAATGTACTGTTGCAGCCGTTTTTAAGTTATCTTCATAAAAATTTTAGTTGCATGCAATGGTAATGATATTGTTAGATGATTTCTTCATTCTGTTGGGTAACCTTTCTTTGGAATGGACATAAATATGGATATTTTCCTATCAGTCGGCCAGGTAGCTATCGTCCAAATTTCTTGGCACAGAACAGCGTGTGCCTCCAGTGCTGCATCAATTTGTTGAAAGATTTTCATTTGTATTCTATCAATTCCCAGCACTTGGTTCTTTGCTCATGCCTTCAATGCACCTTGGACTTCTTCCTTCAGTACTACTGGTTCTTGGTCATATGCTACCTCTTGAAATGGTTGAACATCAACCATTTCTTTTTGGCACAGTGAGTCT